TGTATTGATTAATAATGTATATTATTAATCCATTATTGGATTAATAATATGTATATTATGAAACATATGGATTAATAATGCATATTATTAATATATAATGGATTTATAATATGTATATTATGAAACATATGGAAAAATAAAATTAATTTGATGAGATAAAGATAAAATAAATAGCCCCTAAGTAGGGGGTATAAAATTTATTCTTGTTTTATGGGTGTTGGAACTGAGGATCCATGTGGTTGGATAACTTGTGGAGGAATTTATGTAATTCCCAGGAAAGATTTCCTATAAAAATTAATTATGTCAGTCTGCTAAAAGTATATAAATTTGATTTATTATTACATTTTTAAATGATTAATATGGTTACTAAGAGTGTAAAATTCAACTACTACTCATATCAATTTTCATAATTTTAGGTGCAAATTATGTTTTTGCTAACATTTAGTTATTACCAAACTAAAAACTTTATAAATGTTCAGTAATATTTCTGCTAGATTCCAATTTTTTCTGCTAAGACAGAAGTGGAAGCTAACAAGAAATAGCCAAATTAAAAGTCAAAGATAATTATGATAGTATTAATGAAGGAAAACCCTGTAATTTTCTTTTCTTTTCTCCCCATAGAACACATTGAGCTCTTTAAAATTCATGCAGTGAGACAGAATTTTATGCCCATTTTCATGTGACTATGTAATATTCAAGGCTGCAGTTTCAGGCTTATAAAATAGAAACAGCATAGTCTTTAAAGGGCAGATGATCAGGAACAAATTTTATGTGGTATTAACAAAAGAAGCACGTGGAGAATACTGGCCAAAATGTATTTTAAAAAGTAATGGAAAACAGAATGTATCATTTTCCACTCTATCTTAATAAGGGTAGTAATTTATTGGTATGATGGAATCAACGTACATTGAATTGCAGTACGGACTGCCAAAATAAAGTAATTACTTGCTAAACACTGGTAACAAACAACCCATTTCTCTGTTGGCAGAGGTAGAAAATGATGACATATTTCTCTCTTGGTTCATGGCAGCTCTGTTCAGCTGAAAAATATTTTTTGGATGTTGTAAATAAATATCATTTAGTGTTTCCAAACAGGTACCTTCAAAATACCAATATTTTGGACAGCCATAGATAGTCTTTTGGGAGAAACAATCTAGTAATGAAAGGAAACTGGGCTGAGTGAGAGAATTGAGGCTCCAGGCTAAGTTCTGTCACATACTTGGTGTGTGACTTTGCACAAGTCACTTAGCCTCTCTAAACATCCATTTTTATATCAAAGGATTACTGTAATGGATGTCATAATTTTATATGAATCTTAGATTGATATACACCAATTGAAATACTGGGTTCTGAGTACTCAAAATTAATAATAATGATCATTCAGCAATCCATCTAACCATTCATCCTTTAATTTAACAAATATATATGCATAATTGTCTGCTACAGGGCAAATTGTTTCAGATATAGCTTTTTTTCTTTTTATTTTTTGCTCGGGAAGATTCACCCTGAGCTGACATCTGTTGCCAAACTTCCTCTTTTTGTATGTGAGCCACTGCCACAGCATAGCCACTAACAGATGAGTGGTGTAGGTCCGCACCCAGGAACTGATCCCTGGCCACCAAAGCGGAGTGCACTGAAATTAACCACTAGGCCTCCCGGGCTGGCCCTTAAGATATAGCTTTTGATCAGCTCAGAATCTCTTTAACACTTCATAGATCACCAGAGAGAGACTAAGAAATTATGGATGGAGATTCTTCTTATTTCCATTGCTAATTTCAGTCAGCAACCACAGAAGAAATTTTTTCCTGATTTTGGCAAGTCACTGTGCCACTAGAGGTATAATTTTTACAGTCTTTATTATGTAAACTTTATTACAGCTTACCAATCTGCTACTTTAAAGGGGGTATGTCACTTTATTAAATAATTACTGGCAGAAGTCTACGTGAGAGAACATGGTGGCTTAACCCAGGGTGATAGCAGTGGAGATGGAGAGAACTGGTTAGTAGGAGATATATTTTAGAGATAGAATCGATAGAATTCATTGAAGGATTAGATGATATCTGACTTGAGTGAGTGAGTGGTTTGTGATGCGATTTCCTGGAATGGAGAAGAGAGCGTTGGTTGGGGAGGATAGAGATTAAAAAAATCAGTTTGGATTATACTATGTTTGAAATGTCTGTGAGATATCAAATCATCTGGAGCTGTGAAGAAAGGTGAGAGCTACATATGTGCCTTCAGGAACCGTCTCTATATGGATGGTATATAAAGCCAGGGGAATGGATGAGATCACCTCAGGCTACAGTTTGGAGAGAGAACAGAGGAAAGGAAGGGAAGGATGGAGGGAGGAAGAAAAGGAAAAGAAAAAAGAAGAAAAGAAAGGAAAGTGGCTCTGAGTACAACATGGTGCTCTTTACATCAGGTGAGAATCCTTGTTCATCTTATCCAGTCTTTTTGATCTTTCAGAACCCAGAAATAACTATTTAAGTAGATGAACTAAAATAATCAATTCATGAAACTGTGACTGTTTATAATGTTGCTTTAAACTCTGTCCTTCAACATACACTATAACAATGGATGATTCATTAATGGAAAAAATTTTAAATGCATATTTTATACAGATACAGTGTTACTTAGAGTAGCTTCAAAGTATTCTGGCATTATGTATTAAGGGTCCATTAATGCACTTGTCAGGAGTGTGAAGTCATTTGGTTTTCAATGTTTCATGGCTTATAGTTCACTTGAGGCTTGGATTATTTTCATTTTTATATGCCATTTTTGATCCACGTATTTTTGCAATCCATTTAATCAAGCAGGTTTTTCATGAAGGAAAACTAAGTTGAAAACTATAAAATCACAAAATAGGTTTAAAACAACTAAATGGACTAAGATGGAAAGTATTATCTTTGGGAAACTTTTCAGTAAATTTATACGTAGAAAAAAAGAATGCACCCTGAGTCCCTGCTGTTACATAGGGAAATTCTAGAAATCATCCTCGATAATTGTCCCTCCCTTCTCTCTCCTCTCCAACTGAAGGTGAACCCTAGAAAATCTTCTTTCCACATATCTTTTGTACCTGTTCAGCCCTCTCTATCTCCATTGGACCTTCTCCAGTTTGGACAACTTACCATCATTTCCCTGGAATGATGGATCTTATATGCCACTCCAGTCTTGCCTCCTTCAATTCATTCTTCCCTCAGCTGCTGTGACTCTTTACCAGTTCTCCCACTTCCACTGTTAACCTAGTCCATGCCCCCTGTATCTCATGCCTGTGTTACTGCCACAACATCCTCCTAACCAGTCTCGCTCGCCTGTTTCTGTTTAAGACTGATCATATCATCCCGTTGCTTAAAACCTTGCAGTGGCATCTCATTTCAATTACAGTAAAATCTAGATTCCTTATCTTATGATCTGGCCTCTGTCTAGGCCTCTGACCTCATCTCCTTCAACTTTGCCCTGATTCAAAATCACTAGCCGTATAACTTTCTAAACCACAAATCACCAAACTCCTTGCCATCTCAGAGCATTTGCTTTGAATACTCTTTGCATAGTCTTTTAAGTGGCTTTTTCTTTCTCATCAATCTGGTCTCGATCCAAATGACCTTCTTAAGAGGCCTTGCACTAAATACCCAAATTCTCTCCCTTTTGCACTCTCCATCTCCATAACATATGTTAACTTCTTGATAGATTTTGGTTAATTCCTGAAATTATGTTGGATAATAATGTGGGATCTAAACTCAGACCTGTACCAGGTTACAAATGTTAACTCTTCTACTTACTAGCTGATAACCTGGGCAAGTTATTTAATCTCTATTTGTTTTTCTGTAAAGTGGGATAATAATACTTCTTAAAATAGTTGCAAAAGTTAAATGAGTTAAACATGAAGTTCCTAGAACAATGCCTAACTTATCATTATTATTCGTTGCAGATGTGGTAGAATCGATACTAAAATATATCTCTTGAAATGCAAGTCTGTTTAGTTTGTCCACTTCTGTAACTACAGCATCTAGAACACGGTCTGGTACTCAATAGTAGACCCTCAAAAAATGCATGAGCCACTGTTACCTGACTAGTGACCTGGTAAAGGATAGCTCTGCCTTTGGCTCTAGTTGAAAATTCCTAAATGCCAAATAATCTACCCTTGAACAGCCAATTTCAGTTACTGAGATCTGGATACATGGGAAGTCTCAAGTCCTAGAAAGAAGAATCAATATGAAGCAGATCACAGGGGAACTTGGCCTCCAACCATGAGGTTTATATTAGGGACAAACCCAACAGATCCAGGTAGGAATTGGGAGTATTAGCCAGGTTACCTGGATCCTGGCAAGGACTAGGGAGAAGGCTCCTGGAAGTGACCCACGGGTGTAGAGGGAGCCAACTCAAGTAGTTTCCTGTAGTAGAAGTGGGTCTGATGCCTTCCAGTGGTTGGGATTGACTCTAAAATGGGACTGAACCTGCCCTGCATGTGAGAAGCACTCGATCACATTAGCATATCCATCTTGAGCTCTGCTGGAGAAGTAAGAAGCAGGGAAAAGAATCAGAGGCAGATCAGAGGTAGCCTTCCTAAATGTTGTTTATATAAATTAAATGCTACAGATTTGGATAAAATTGACACCACCTCATTTTCAGATTATTGCTAAGATCGTTATGTTAAGATCTTGTACCATATATTGATTTTTACCGCATATTATTAGGAAATCTTATCTAGGTTGAATATATTTTTATAGACTATGAAGCAGAAGGGGCATTAAGGCCTCTTACTTTTCATTGCTTGTCTCAGATACATGTTCTTAAATCAGAGTTTAATGGGACATTCATACAAGGAAACAATCTACCATTCCATTTTATCCAATTGTATGTCTGTACACTGTTCACTGTGTTTGCAAACTTTACAAGTGTTATAAGATACTGTGTTTGGCTTTTGATAGGCTTTTTTTTTTTGGCTGTAGCATCTGTTCAGAGTGTCAGAGTACAAATTTAGAAACTTATTTATATAGCCAGCAGGTCATCTTTTCACCAGCTGATTTGTCATAAATTTCTCAAGTAAAGCTACATTTGTTGGAGGATCTTTCGACGTAAAATAATATAGAGGTATGTGTCTGATCCTTCTAAAAAATTTGAATTTAAACAAAATACAAAGCTGAAGTATGTGAGGACCCTAATGCCAATAGTTATATTATTTAAGGCTTGGCATGTTATGAAAACTTAGTGTATTCTCAAGTGAAATTATTCTCTATGCTTTATAATAACATATTTTCATGGACTGAGAAAATTATGCTATTAAATTTTAAGTTCTTTAAATTATAAATTGTTAAAAGATTTAACATTCTCCTGGTCCTGATTTTAGTTTACTAAATTCATAGCTACTTTTATACACATTACTAATGAAAAATCTTGATTTATTAAATCAGATGTATGAATCACTGCATCTAATTTTAGAAAAGCTTTCTGTATTTTTAATGAACTACAAAAAATTGATATATTTGACAGTTGTTACTTGAATATTTCTGATTAATGAGGCTCTTAGATCTAAGGCTGTTTATGCAACTTTATTTGAAATTTATTATAAGTAGTATTCCATAGATTATTATAATTATATGGATTACTCCTAGTGATCTTTAAATTCACTTTTTTGAAATTAAAATTTTTCAAAGAAAAATAGATTAAAGTGTTGAGTTGAATAATCCTATCTGTCCCATTGAAAAGATTCTCTACTCCATTCTCCAATTTTCATCCAAACAGCCACTATTATCTTTCTATTACCTTCTTCCCCACCTTTCCCTCCTCTCAAATCTTTCCTCTTCCCTCTGGTATTCCTAGCCGTTAGGTCTAAATGAAGATCGTGCACTCCTCTTCATTCTCAGAAGTGAGTAGAGACTATGTACAGAGTATACAGAAAGAAAGGCTATTCCCTTAGCAGAATTGAACCTTTCTCCTTCTGACTCAGCCAGAAGCCCAGGTGCAGCTGGCAGGGCAAGAGAGAAAGGAAAATGTTCCAAACGCTTTTTAGGAATTGCAAAGTAGAACTAGAAAATTGGTTTGTAGACTTTTGTCTTTGTTTTGGGGAGCAGGGAGGCTGTTAGCACACTTTAAAGCTCCAGGAAAAATCAAACTCTAATAATATTATTACTAATAGGCATTTGCTTTCTGATTTTGCAACAGGAGTATATACATATATATACACACACATATATAAATGTGCTTAAAGTGAGGAACTAACATTGTTTATGGGAAAGCCTTCTAGATGTATGCCAAATTTTAAGCTTTTTCTCTTAAACTGTTGAAAATAAGGTATTTGGGGAAGAATATTAGTTCTTTCAGATCAATTAAAGTCAATTTAGTCAAAGTCACAGTCCTAGTGACTGAAAACTTCAGAAAAGTTAATTGACTATACACGTTTTGTAAATGACTTTCTGGTATGTATTTCCACACCCTTCCTTCAGTACTTAATATACCCCGTCCAAAGAATATCTTGTTCTCTGATAGGAATCCAGCCATAACCACATCATCAATTAATCTTTGCAAATATCTCAAAAGAAGTTTCATCGACTCATAAACTTCTCAGTAAAAAACACTCTTATTTTTCAGGATGTCAAACTTGGGACAATTTGACACTGATTTTTACCAATCTAATTATACCATTGATAATCAGGAGCAGAGTTGTAATGATTCTAATGCCTATGGAAATCTTTATGGATCTGGAAAGTAAGTACTTATATTGAGAAAATATGCTTTCATTTTAAGAAGTTGTAATATTACGGCAAAGGGTTCCTGGTAGGGCAGTTTCCCTGGGGGAAGTAAAAGCTCTCCCCAGCATATCTCATAAGGTGCCCATGAAGAACTGTCAGGAAAGGGCAGAGAAGTGAGTTCAGTTCTCCATGAACGCCCTTGATCACCTCAGGCCCATTTACAGGTGAGTGGCTTGTCTCCTCTTTTCAAAATATCACTTAACAGGGAGCCTGAATACAGGTACCGGACAAACAGAAAGCATCTTCCTTTTACCTGATATTTTCCAGGGCACTGCTCGAGAAACAGATTTTATTTAATTTAATAAACGTTTATTGAGTGCCTGCTTGTGTGTCAGGAACTAAGAAGGGTGCTACAAACCCAAAGAAGAACTCCATAATCTTTTACTTCACAAAACTTAAGAATTCATGTTAGATAGGTGGACAATTAAATATGCACTTATAATACAGGGTGAAAACTCCTAAATGGAATCAAGATAAACATAGTTCAGAATGCGTTAGTTATTTGATTTGACAATTCAACTTGAGTTGAACATAAATCTAAATTGGTCAACAATTTAATATTTACCCTTTACTGGTGCCCCAAAAAGGGTATTTAGAGTGAGAAGAATTTAGAGCGAGAAGTTCAACTTCTGGCTCTAGCATTTGTTCTTTGTGACATTGGAAAAGACTTAACTTCCCAGACTGTCTTAAACTGAGAAATAAGGATGTTAATAATCCCCACTTCATGGAATTATCATGAAGAACAATTGTGATAATGTGTAGTAAAGTGTATATTAAAGTAAAACCACTTTATAAATGCTATTTATTCACATAATTATAGTTTGCAAAAGCAATTGCCACTTTGTAGCCTAAAGTCGCTTAAAAGTGTATTCAGTTATAGAGTTGCTTCTTTGGATGTTCTTTTGTGGGTCCAGATAAGGACTGTGAGAAATGTTGGACCTTTCAACTTACATAAGAACTAACATTTATTGAGCTCTTATTATACATTAGGGACTGTTCTGAGCTTTATATCAATTAACTCACTGGATCCTTAGACAACCCAGAGATAAGTACTATTGTTATCCCCATTGTACATATGAGAAAGCAGGGACTCAGGGAAATTAAGGAACTTTTCCAAGGTTATACAGCTTGTAGGAAATGAGTTTAGGATTTTAGCCCAAGGTGTTTGATTAGGTCCGTAACTAGGCTGGGCATATAATTTATTGTAAAATCAAGATATTTTTGAGAGTTAAATGGGTGCTATGAATAATAAAGTTGATACAATAGGAGTAAACTGGACCATCTTAGGCAAAGATGTATGGTCACTATGCCGTTTCAACAAGTTCAGGCCAAATAACCACATATCAAATATTTCAAATTTATGAATTCTTGAAGTTTATTTTTCTAAACATAGATTAGTACCATGAAGGTTGGGATAGAAGGAGGAAAAGACAGAATCAATGCAACAGGCTGTGGGGAGTCTTCTGTTCCAACTGTGCTCAGGACAATTTGACGTTGTTTTCACTGGTGGATCATTCCTATAGACACAGGGAGATAGGCGCTGCTGTCACGGGCTGCTTGCTAGCCACTCCTGCTGAGCAACTGCTCTAAGGCAATAGGGAAAAAGGTATTGGCATATAATATTTTTAAAACTGTAAAATTTAAATATCTGGAATGTTATCTCATTCTTGTCGCTATTCTATGTTGTCCAGCATCAGTCAGGCTGCCATAAGAATTTCTTAAAGTGAAAAATAATCTATGCCTCTATCTATCTATCTATCTGAATATTATCACTAGGTAAATTAAAATGTTTTAAAAAATATTTATAAGAAAAATGGGGGAAAAGGATAAGACTGTATAGAATTGGCTCAATCATTGCAGAATCTAACAACATAAAAAGAACTTGATTTTATTACATTTATGATTTACACTTTGGAAGGTCAAGAAAAAACAGAAACGTTTGATGCAGAGGGAGTACTTTGAGCATTCAAGTATTATAGGATGGTAACTCAAAATATGTAATCCACAATGAGACCTATCTAAAAGGATTTTTTAGCTCTGTTCTCCTGTTGTATTGAAAAGAACCAGTTGCCTTGAAATTCTGTTTTTTTTCTTCCTTCTCTTCTCCAGGTAGGATAAGCACCTGTGTAGCATCTGCAATCTACATTTTCAGACAAAACTAAACTAAAAAGTTCAATAAGAGAGAGACAAAGCTTTCTCCTTCAGTAAGGGCTCATGGACACAGCCTTCTCCCTCACCCCACCTGCCCGGTTTTCTTTCCCCGTTTGATTGCACATATCAATTTTGCCCAGATGTCAAGATGACAAAGAGATGAAAATTAATATAACCAAATGAGGAAAACTCATGATTACATTGTATCAGGTTGATGGCCTAGCCTGCTTCAGATGCTTAGCATTTAAATCCAAGTCCTAATTTGGATGTGATAACATTTAAATTACAACCGACACTGCAAGTCTCAGGTATTAGAAAAGGGCATATTAGCTGTGGTAGTTTTATGAGGTACATAAAACGTGCGGTCAGGTCAGTGATTTACTAGTGTACATCAAACGAACTCTGGAGATTTGATCTTTTATTGTGACAGTGAATAGGTCAATTAAAATATACCTCAAATCAGAATAAGGTGCTAATCATCCTGGCAAAAGACATAGGAGTCCAAAGGATAGTCATAATCAATGAGTTTCTGTCTTTGTCTCTCTCCCCTCTCTTCTGTTCCGATATATGGGAGTTTGTTTTAAAAAACTGATTGGGCTCAATGACATACTGATCTGAAAGCTGGTTGACTGTGCTTATTAAGTCAATAAAGATATTTATATTTAAAAACAAGTTTTTTTATTTTAGAATGAACAAAGAGTTTTCTCATTTTAAAAAACATAACTATCCAGTCATTCAGATAGATATTATTTCCAATCACCTGTAGCCAGTTATCTAGGCTGTATTTTCCCCACTATATTTTTTCAGATTTTTGAAATGGGAAATCTATTCAAATTATTTAGAGAAAGAAATAGGTATTTTTTCAGAAAGATGACAACTGGAAAACTCCCTTTGAGTGTAGGGAGTACTTTTTACTAGGATTCTAACAGACTGATACTGAATCATCGTCTTTTTGGAATCTCCAGACTTGATCTTCCTCTAGTGTTTTAAGCATAGCTAGTGGCACTGTCAATGGCACATAGTCCTGCGCACTCACTGGCCAGCCAGGATCTGGGAATGTTACAAAAGCCAACTCCTCCAGCTACCATTCCCTAAACCACACTACCATCGAACTGATCCTGTGCAATATGTTCTTACCAAGGACACTTAGGATGCCTGATTTTACCAGCTCAACTGGAGACTTACATCCAGACTAAATCTTTTTAACTAACAGAGCATTTTTGTTGTAGATCTGTCATATTGTTGTCTTATGCTGTTTCAGGTGGTGGTGTTGCAAATTCTGAAACCCTTTGTAGTCTCGGGTTCCTGGAAGGGTGCAATGTCACTTGATTGTATGAAATACAAATGTACTTGAATGTGAGTCCAAATGTGGAGATAGACTTACAATGAATTGTACTTATTTGATGGTACATTTCTTACCATCTGAAATACCGTCTACCTCTCCATACGATGCTGAGTGTGAGCACATCACCTGTATTCCCCCAGGGTCAGACTGACAAAGGAAAGCAGCATCAGTTGACCATCATGATGGAAATCCAAACCTATAGTTTTGGAAAAACAAAGCCTCTGATAAACTACGTAGCTAGTGATTATGCAGTGGGGCACAGGAAACTGACTGTGTGCTACACACGTATCTGTAACCACAGAAATTATAGCTAAGTCTTCTAACAACGATCTTTTACATTTGCATTGGAGGGTGAATAAGTTCTGTTGACTCAGAGACAGGTCAAAAATTTTCCCCAGCTGGAGACTATGCCTTATCTTAATATCTTTACTTACGAAATCATGTGAGTGAAGATAAGCCTCTGGAGGCCAGTTGTACCTTTATAGTCCCAGGTGTGGGTGGTGAAAAGGGGAGTAATGATGAATTGGTGAGCACATAGAGGGTTTTTATAAGGATCAGGTGTGTGGCCATTGCTTTATGGCTCAGAGTCAGAACTCCTGGCATGGTTAGAGTGGAGATTCTCCTAGGAGGAAAACACAGGACTGGTGGGATGTTGTTGAAGACCGTTTGAGGGTTCCAGGGAAACCAAAATGGGAAAAGCTAAAGATGATCAGCACAGAAGGGATACAAACCTTGGCCTCCTATTAATGTTGTTTTCTTTGAGGAAGTGACTGAGAGACAACTATTACAAATACAGAAGATGCTGTTCCAGGGAGTGTGGAAGGTGTCTGTAATGCTTTAGTGTAAGTCTCAGGAAGAAAAGAGCATACAAATATTTAGCTAATGCTTACTGATCACTTTTTGGTGCCCAAGACTATTCTAAGTGCTTTACGTATTTTACCTAATTTAATTCACAACAACCTTATGAGTTCTATTATTATCCTCATTTTACGGATGAGAAAACTGAGGCACAGAGTGTGATATAAGTTGCCTAAGATTATGAAACTGGGATTTGAACCCAGGCAGTCTTACTCCAGAGGCTGTGTTTGTAACCACTCTATTCGGTTCAGGATAAATCCTACCGTTGGACTATCATTAAAAACAGAAATGTAACTCCACAGAGTCAGGAAGCAAAAGAAAGGAAATATGACCAAGAAGGTTGCCAGTTGTTCTAAAGAGGCTTTTGGAGTCACCTCACAGTTGTTCGAAGTGATTTTTACAGGAAGAGGAGTTGCCTGCTAACAAAGCTAATGTTTAAATCCTACCAGCCAGAATCCCGTGTTTCTTTTGGTCTAATTCCGTTGACTTTTGTTTCATCTGGAATAATATGCTGAGTTAGAAATCGTCAAAATTTCAGTATTTACTTTCTCATAGAGCTAATTAAGATGCAGTATAATCAAGGAGAAAAGGAATATTTTGTTGGTATACTCTGCAAAACTCCCATTGCTGTGTGGGGCATAGATTTGATATAACCTTACCATCTTAAGTATTGGGTATACTAATCTGACTCATGCAATTGTCTTAATAGATTAATAATTCAGGTGTACAGGCTTAACAAAGCAAATAGCAAAGTGTCCAATGTCATTCCCCCTGAACTGTTTTATGAAAAGATACTGTAGGCTTGAAAGATGTCACTAAAAATATGAGAACTTCATTGGCATAGCCATTCAGAGTTGGCATTATCTAATAAAAAAGGATAACATCAGAAGACATGGGACTAAGTTTAGATTCAAGATATATAGTTTAAATTATGGTTGTTTATACCAATTTTCAGAAAAGGTCTAAAACATGAGAATTGGGTTTTTTACAAAGTTTGCTTGGTGGGACTTTGGACTAATAATGTGATCATTTTGGTATTGCTTAGGTTTTGCTCATTGAGATGTAGTGTTAAATGTTAGTCAACATGTACAAAGTCAAAGAGATAAGATAAAAAGAGAGAATTTTAATTTAGACAGTGATTGATAGAAAGTGACCAAGGTAATTTTTATAGATAAAGCATTTTGAGGTTTCCTTTATGGACAAATTTTGAAATTTTACTTTCTTAAATAAGTAGTGGGGGAATTCTGATATTAAGCCTTCATTATGACAAGAACAGCAAAGGCCAAGCTCCTGATGAAGACATTTTGTTGAACGAAGGAGCAGAGAGGGATGGAGGAAAGAGAAAGGGGCAGGATTTGGCTGGTAATGGAATTTTTTTTCTGTAAAAATGTGTTTTTCTCTTTGGGGGTTGGGTCGAAGTAGCTATCCATGTTAAATTCCCTCATTCACAGAGATTGCTTTGCAGAGAGTAATTGTGAAAGTTACACTTCCTCAAGCCTGGTTAGTAGCACCAGGGCGTAGATTATGGGGAGGCCAGGGCAGTATGTCAATGAAATAGTCACATTTAGACGCTGGCCCATTGAGTCATCTCTATTTACCCATTTTATTCTTCTAGAAGTGCTTACGCTAAAAAAATACATATCTAGGAGTACTTTTATCAACAAACAAACCATTCAGATTCTTATGTATAAGCCGTTCTTATTTTTATTTATTTATAATTCATTTCTACCTGTACTTTTGGTAGTGGGCCTACCTTGCTGAAGAAAAAAAAAAAGATTAGGAAGATGCCACATAGCTAAATGAACAATGACAGTAATCAGCATATGCTGTGGGGGATTCAAGAAGTATTACACCAGGTCCCTGCCCTTAATGAGCTTATGGCTGAGTTAGACAATGATTAAATGTATTTATTTCTTCCTATCTCAGTAGCTTTATTTTCCAGAAGAGCTTATTTTATTATCTGTCAGAGTTACTCATATAAGGGAGGTTGAATATGTCATTATTAGACTTCATATTAAGATTGATGTTGGAAGGAAAGTAGGAAAAGCCATTGTGTAAATATTTTAACACGAGGAGATCCCATGGAGCTACAAAGTTCAGAATCCTGGACTGTATTTTTAGTTTAGCCTAAGGGGCTTTGATGAAAGAAACTTATATGTGTTAATAAGAACAACTTCTTATGTCTCTTGTGCTTCCTTTAGGTAAAAACAACTTAAAATGACCAAATAACCTTATATACCCTCCCTTTTTTCCTCCTTCCTTTCTCTAGCACTAGCAAGAAATTATTTACCAAGATTGTTGTTTTTCAACTTTCTCACACAAATGGTGAAATAAAAACAAACACAAATATGGTCAAGGAAGAATTGAAACATCATGTTTTGACAAAACTAAATTGCCATAAGAAACGATGAAATCCAGCCATTTGTGACAACGTGGATGGACATTGAGGGTATAATGCAAAGTGAAATAAGTCAGAGGGAGAAGGTCAAATACCGTATGATTTCCTTCATTAAGTAGTAGATAATAACAACAATAAACAAACACATAGGGACAGAGATTGGATTGGTGGTTACCAGAGGGGAAGGGGGGAGGGAGGAGGGTGAAAGGGATAATTCGGCACATATGTGTGGTGATGGGTTGTAATTAGTATTTTGGTGGTGAACATGATGTAATCTATGCAGGAATAGAAGTACAATGATGTACACCTGAAATTTTTACAATGTTATAAACCAATGTTACTGCAATAAACAAAAAATAAAAAAAACAAAAAACAAAAAAAAACTAAATTGCACCTTTCAAAAGAAGAACACTAAAACCAGCCAGAGAATACTTTTAACTAGGTACTCAAAGATAAGTCAGTTGGCAATAATTGTCTGGGAACGGCCAGAGCCAGAAAGTCTATTTCCTTATGGACAACAGTCAGTTTATGTATTTATTTTTTTCCTATGAATTGACTATACTATTGAAATTGTGATTTTATTGCTGCTTTCACAGATTTTTAGAGAATGCCCTGTTTGGTCATTGCCCCTGAAAATCAATGAGAAAGCAGCATTGTGTAGGGAGCAGAGAGCAGCTCAGACAACTGCAGTTCAGACCCAACACCCGAAATGATCTTGTGTGATAACCGGCAAGTCATTCAGTCTCCATAAGCCTCTAGTTCTTTTTCTGTAAAATGGAATTAAAACTACAGTTTTTACCTTACAGAGTTTTAATTGCATGAGGGAAAGTGTCCAGCACATGGTACATAATCAATACATGTTAGTTGGAATGGATCATTTTCCTAGATCCTTCTCATAACCAGTTACTTCATTGTGTTTTGTTTTGTGAGGAAGATCAGCCCTGAGCTAACATCCAATGCCAATCCTCTTCTTTTCGCTGAGGAAGATTGGCCCTGGGCTAACATCCATGCCCATCTTCCTCTACTTTATATGGACACCGCCACAGCATGGCCTGACAAGCGGTGCGTCTGTGCACGCTTGGGATCCGAACCTGTGAACCCCGGGCCGCAGAAGTGGAGTGCGCGCACTTAACCGCTGCACCACCATGCTGGCCCCTACTTCATTGTTTTTTAAATTAAAGTTAAACTTTAAGCAAATTGTTTCTTACATGGGTAAATACTCATAAAAACTAGGAGAATTGATACAAGGAAAATTGTAGTTTCCTTCCTTAATTTGTCATGATATCCTTTTCTAGGAGGTCTACATATCAGTATTTTCCTTTCTCTAGACCACAAGCCAGTGAGCAACCTCAGCCTGCGTTTGTCCCACCGGAGATGCTCCTGTCATCAGGATACGAGGGACAATTTTTTCAGCCAGCGTTCAACGTGGATTCTTATTCACAATCTCCTTACATTGACAGTTTTGATGAAGAGCCTCCTTTGCTAGAAGATAAGTTAAGGCGGTGCTATTAACATGTGTACAGCCCGAAGAATAATGGCAATAATCAGCACTTAATGTGCACTGTCAGCGTGCTGTGTACAGTGTTTTATGTGTGATCGTTCCGTGTGTAAACAAGAGTCTGTGAAACCAAGACACTTAAACCATTGGAAGTTTGTCTCATGTTTGTGTGGGGAAAATCGGAAGTAGATATGTGCTATTCCTGCGTTATTGCTGCAGTTATTAAATGTTTGTTTACTGTTTCTTAAATGTGGACTCCCTGGCCGTGTCTAGACAACACTGAAGACATCTTTGGCAAACTCGTTATATCAAAGTAACCACCCTTCCCACCCCAGTCAATGCAGATACTTCATAACAGTGTATTTTATTTTCTGCTATGTTTGCCTGGGAGCAAAGGGGGTAGTTTCTCAGTATTGTTTTTTTGTTGTCATGGAGACACGCGAATTTTTTTTTTTTTTTTTTTTCCTGTCTTGGCTCATATGATTCCCCTCATCTCAGCTAGGTATGGCTAAGTGGGAAGGAATATGATTCCAGTAAATAGCACTGCTGGTGGCGAGGAAACCTGGGGACAGAGCTAACATCTGTTGCCAATCCTCCTCTTTTTGCTTGAGGAAGATTGTCTCTGAGCTAACATTTGCACCAATCTTCCTCTACTTTATATGTGGGATGCCATTGCAGCATGGCTTGATGAGCGATGCGTAGGTCCACACCTGGGACCTGAACCCACGAGCCCTGGGCTGCTGAAGCGGAGTGCCCTGGCCGGTGCTTAATCACTAGGCTTCCAGGCTGACCCCTGATTTTTTTTTAATCCAGCCATCTGCTGGATTTGCTCTTAAAGAATGTCAACATGATGCTAGAAGCACAGGTGCAAGAAAACTAAAACTCAAGTAGATTTAAATTTGAGAGCCAAGGAGAAATATTCACAGGTTAACTGCTCTAACTCCTTTATATGTGGTCAAGGGAAAAGGGATAGATTAAAATTCCCAATATTTTACATCACAAGACAATTTTTTCCTCATATGAACACAGCCACCCATTAAAACATTCTTCTTTCTTTGCCTTCAAAATTAAAAAAGGTGAAAGATTTAAACCATTTAGAAAAGCACAGAAATTTATATAATAGATTTGTTGGCTCTTTAGAAGCCAGTTAAGTTTTTGGATCAGTTATGTTTAATTAATTCATTCTATTTTGCCTCTACAATTAATAGTCAACACCTGAAAGTTATAAACGATTCTCCTTAAGCATTTTCCTTGACTTCACCATCTCTACTTTAAAAAAACTATCAGATTGTCTAATTATGAAAATAATCTATATTCAATATAGAAATTTGGAATAATAAACATATGAATAAAAATACAAAAATCACCTAAAATTTTGTCTCTGAGACATGACTACCAATAATGATTTGATGTATTTTCTTCTAGCCTTTATTCTATTTTTCTATGAATATGGATATATATACTTAAAAATAAAATACTATATTTTTTGCATATATATGTATTTATGAATACCTAAAAATGTAAGTTTGATCATACTATGGATATAAAGTTTTATATTTTTTAAAGTTACTTTATGTCATAAGCATTTCTATACATGCATTTTTTTAGTTATGAAATATTATTTGAAAAGATGATATACAATGGCTTCATAATATTTTATCATATAAAAGTATCATAATTTAAACTCACCTTATAGATGGTTCTTTATAATAAGTAATGCTTTGGCGAACATCATAGTAAACAACTTTGACCTGTACAGCGTCTGTCCTTAGGACGCATCCGTGACAGTGGGATTACTGGGTCAAAACGTACTTACACTGTCAAACTGATCTAGAAGAAGGATGATCCACTACACCTTCATAGTAGAATATGAGATGTCTTCTTAATTTGATAGGCAAAAAGTAATACTTTGTATTTCTCGGTCACTAGGAAAGTTAGACATTTTTCCATATATTTATTGACTGTTTTTACTTCTTCCCATTTTTCATGTTTTTTGTCAGATTTCCCATTGGAATCTTAAGATTTTTCCTTTCCTTGTTTATTTATAGAGATAATTATATGGTAAAGATATTTCTGTCTGAAATACGTTATCTTAAACATTTTTTTTCTTAGATTGTGTTTGCCATTTAATTTGTTTATGGGACATTAAGGCATATAGAAATTTTAATATTTATGTTTTCATCTCCACAATATTTTTCTTGATAACTTTTCTTTCCAATTGCTCTTTTGTTTAGAATATATTTCTCCAGCTCTAAATACTGCTCGTATCCTTTTGTAGATTCTTAAATTTTTAAATTATCTTTTGTTTTGCACTTAAATTTTTGATTCATTGAAAATTGCTTTAGGTTAGTATGTGAAGTAGGATTTAAGTTTATTTTTTCTTTAATGATTAACCAATTTTTCCTGCAACATTTATTGAAAATATCTTTATCTTTTCTACTTGTCTGAAATGCCTCTAAACTCTAATATATCCTCCCCTAATGTCTCCTTAAATTCGAATAGGAAATATACTAGCTTTCCCCTCCCACTTTATACAGCTCAGAGAAAATTCCTAGATTGTTTTTTTTTCTTTTTGTGATTATCCCCACCAAATGTAAAGTATATTAGAAGAGATAGCACCTAATATGATTCTGCATTTTGAATCTATGAAATTTCTAGACTCTGATCCAATATGTTTTTCAGGCTGGGTGACTTTGTGAAAGCCTCAAGCCTCATCTGTCTAAAAGATATGCAAAAGCAGTAGGCAGGATTTCTGGGATAAGATGATAAATGGCATTTGCTAGTTTTTATTGAATGTATGCCAAAACAGCCTATAAAATTACAAACCTATAATAATTAACATTCCTTTCACAGAACCATGTTATTTGAAAATGTGCTTGTTTATTCCTTAAATACTTTGTTGTCTAAAAGACTTGTCTGGTGTTAAGTAAAAGTGATAATTTTTGCTGTTTGATAGTGTACAATCAATATGTTTTTGCTATTTGATAGTGTACAATCAATATGTTAACAAATGCGTCTTGAAGACTAATAGTCAATTCAAGTCTGTCAGACCAGAAAAATTACTGTGATATTTGGTATTTGTCTTTGTAGCGTAGCTTGATGTTTATATTTGAAAGGCCAATGCCGCAATTTGCGTAGAAAACAAAGATATTCATTCACTTTTATAGCATATATATCGTATACTTTATTACCACTAGATGACAGCAAAACAATAAATTTTGCATTCAAATTTCAAGCAGTTTCAACTTCTTTTATCTTGTATAATAAGGTGTTAAATTAGGGTATCTATAATTAATAAATAGCTATAATCTCATTTACGTACCTTGTAATAAATTTGAAAACAAAATAGTATGGAGATGTATTTTGGTAGAAGATGCATAAAATCTTTTTTCTTATGAAGATATTTAGTAGGTCTTATGTTCATTCACTGTTTCATGACTCAATGTTGAAATGTGCAGAAGTTGATTATGCCATCAAATAAATGGTTGAAATCAGTAATAATGTCTCATAAAGCATTTTTCATCTGAGTTTCATTAGGGATACTTATGCTTTGTGAGGAAAAACGTATTTTGAATTAAAGGCCACTTTATTGTGGTAAATACTGAAAACATAGTGTTAGCATAAATGTCTAAATTGAAAATAAGATTTGAAAACAACATAAGCCTCAGGTGAAATTAAACTACAGCATTTCTCAATTTTTAAAATCTCCTGCTATTTTAAAAATTGCATTAGACATTCTAAGCTCATTTTAAGCTTGATGAACTGCTCATGTTCTCCAAAGTTTACATTCATTAAGAAATACATAAATACACTGTGAAAATAGAAAGGATGCAACATGGAAGTTGAAATGTAAATGATTTGCTATTAATTTAACCAGTCAAATTTTCTTTTTTTCAAGCTTGGAGTAGTAATTGTCACCCTGAATGTGAAACGAGTGAAAGAATGCACTTCCTATTCTAGTTCAGACTGATGTCTGCCTGACCTGAAAATGTCAAGGTCCTTGTTAAAGCAAGGTCCCTCTATGTTATTGCCATCATTAAAAGTCCTTCTGGTATTCTGTGTATAGAATGTCAGCTTTGCAAAATGTTTAGGTGGTATGTGCCACTGTAAAAGAAGTTGAACTATACCCTGTATCTGACCAGAGAAGCTTACTAAATCCTGAGAAGAGAAGTTGAATGCCACATACCAATGATTTAGGGAGACAATCCTTCACATGGGAGAATTGGGCTCAATTAAAAAAAATACAATCGATTACGAGATTAGCTGCACATTGTCTCTACCACAGCTATATGATTACAAGCATGAGTTTCTTTTTTTTTTATACCCTTTTACCAACCTCTTCCTATTTTCCCCAATGCCAGCCCCTGGCAACCACTTTTGTACTCTGTTTCTTTGAATTTGACTTTTTGTTTTTTAAAATTTTAGATTCCACATAGATGTGATACCATACAGTATTTGTCTTTCTCTGTCTGGCTTATTTCACTTAGCATAATGCCCTCAAGGTCTATCCATGTTGTTGCAAATGGCAAGATTTCCTTCTTTCTCATGGCTGAATAATATTCCATCGTATCTATATATTGCATCTTCTTTACCCATTCATCCATTGAGGGATATTTAGCTTTTCTTCCATATATTGGCTATTGTGAAAAATGCTGCAATGCACATGGGAGCGCAGGTATCTCTTTGATATCCTGTTTTCATTTCCTTTGGATATATATCTAGAAGTGGCATTGCTGGATCATATGGTAGTTCTATTTTTTTTAATTTTTGAGAAACCTCCATACTGTTTTCCATAGTGGCTGCCCCATTTAACAGTCCCACAAACAGTGCACAAGGGTTCCTTTTTCTCCACATTGCCAACACCTGTTATTTCTTCTCTTTTTGATGATAGCCATTCTAGCAGGTGTGCGGTTTTGTGGTTTTGATTTGCATTTCCCTGATGATTAATGATGCTGAGCACCTTTTTGTGTACCTGTTGGCCACTCGTATGTCTTCTTTGGAAAAATGTCTTCTCAGTTCCTCTGCCCACTTCTTAATTGGATTGTTTGGGTTTTTTAGAAAGCATGGTTTCTTGAGTCAAATTCTCCAGTGTTGAAACCTCACTTTTCTATTACTAGCTCTGTGACTTTGGACAAGTTACTTAGTCTCTCAAAACTTCAACCATCTAATGCACAAAATAGGAATAAAATAACAGTACTAGCTTCATCACGTGTCTGTAAGACCAATGCATGTATATCTTGTAGGCCTCCAAACGTTCAACTCTTTTTAGTTGAAATGTGTGTACTTTACAGTTCAGCTCCAGTTTTTCCTAGCCTCCACCTCACTCTTATTCAAATTTAAAATGATAGGAGCATAACCACCTTGATTATTGGTTCCTGAATAGTGAAGTCATGTTCTGCTCCGTTTTTGAGTGTTCTTTCTTTTCTACTCAAGATGCATCTTAAAGTTTATCTTTATAGGAGTAGTGAGAAAAGAAGTTGATGTGGTGTCAATATTTATTTCTATATTCAGTTGATGTCAAACGGCCAGGGGTTTTTGTTTTGTTTTGTGTTTTTTTGGTGGGGAAGACTAGCCCTGCGCTAACATCCATTGCCAATCCTCCTCTTTTTGCTGAGGAAGATTGGCCCTGGGCTAACATCTGTGCCCATCTTCCCCTATTTTATGTGGGGCACCTGGCACAGCATGGCTCGGTGAGCAGTGTGTATGTCCGTGCCCAGGATCTGAACCTGCGAACCCCAGATCGCCCAAGTGGAGCGTGCGAACTTAACCACTATGCCACCTGGCTGGCCCTGTTTTGCTTTTTTTAAACAAAATAATGTAAGAGGAGGAGAATCTAGCACAGGGGTCTTTGAGGTGGCAGTCAGAATTCTTTGGAAAACAAGGCATTGGAGAAAAAATTTTGAAATTTCTATATGAGTTTGGACTCATGGGCACTGAGCCCCACTGGTTTTGGATACTTTCTTCTACCACCACCACTCATAACGGGAAAGATTAACTTGTCTCAAGAATTTAATCTTTGAATACACAGACTCAACTGCGTAGAGCATTGACCTTATTAAAATATGAGCGTACGTCATGATTACCTTTACTTGCTGAAAGAGTCACCCCCTTTTCTTCTCTGTGGAGTTTCAGGCAGTTAGCGTAGAATTGCTTTTCTTATCAGGCAGGGTGGAAGTAAAATTCCAGACCTGGGCGAAATGCCTTTAGCTTAGATAATACAGGGAACTGAAAAATTATGCCATATTTGATATGACAAGATTTCAAAAGTGTTAGCAACAGAAAATGTGAGAAAAGGCAATATCTAAATGGGCAATAGGATGGGACTTTTGGTCTGTTAACTATCATTTTATTTTATTTTTTACCGTAGAATGTCCATTTCCCAATTTCCAACTAGATTTCAAGCTTGAATTATTCCTGTAAATTATTTCTGTTAGCTCATTATTTTGAAATAAAAAATCTTTTTTTGTTTTTTTTTTAAGGTTGCTATTTATTACATAGAACTTTAGATTATGAAGGTATAACAATCAGATTAAAAGTGCTAAATAAATTAATCAGGTATGTTAACTTTAATTAAGGATATTACTTACGTTTATTTTTCATACTTATATTCTCTCTCTTTTTTTTCTTTTTGCAGAACTTGGAATTAATTTTGATCACATATGGCAAAAAACCTTGACAGTGTTAAACCCACTGAAGCCAGCAGATGGCAGCATTATGAATGAAACGGACCTCACTGGGCCCGTCCTGTTTTGTGTCGCCCTAGGAGCCACGTTGCTTCTGGTAATGGACCGCAGCAAACACCAGATTTTAATGTCCTTTCGACTATCATTTTTGAAGAGGTCTTTGTAAATACAGAAGAAAGAATGTCACTTTATAAAGTGAAAATTGTTTGCTTAATTCATAACTACATTTTTTTTGTGGGAAACATATATTTAACCTCACCATAGTGACAAAAAGAAACTACCATCACGTATTACAGCAGCAAAAAATATAAATTTAAATAGAATTTCAAAAATCAAATCACCAAGTCAAATTTTCAACAAAGCAGGAGATATTTATATCATTCTTGTTATTAAGAAAAGACTGTCAATCTGAAAAAGTTGAAGGAACATGTGGATTTGAGAAATATAAGGGCTAAATTTTATTTCTTGCTTTCTGTGAGATTTCTATTGTGACAGTGGACAAATCTCTTCTCTTTGCTCATCATTTTCTTTGCTGGGATGTATCTCTAGAGTATTTCAGATATTCGGTGAGGTATGGTGTGGGTCTCCTTGTTTCTAGTTAGGCTCCTACGAATAAATTAGCTTGCAATGATAACCAATGATTTGTTTATTAAGCCTATAAATTTCCCCTATTATTTCAGTTTTCTGCTTTTTATGAAGGCAATTTTTCCCCTGGCTTCACCATTTGTCTTGTGTATGGGCCTCTTTCATTCTTTAAATCTGAGAGTAATGATATTGAGTCATCAAAAAAGTAAAGAAAAACATATATCCACCTAAAGTAAGTTCAGAAGACATTTATCTCAGAGTTTAGAAAAATGTTTCATTAAAAAAAAAAAAGGAAGAAAAAGAAGAAATGAGAGAAGGTCTATGATTTTATACCAAGGAGGTAATGACAACACATTAAAAACAGAGGGTGAAAAAGATGGTCAAACCAGTCTGAAAAGTATAGTGTCATTAAGGTGGGAAGAGATAAAGTTGGCAGAAGAAATAATACAGGAAATTGAAAATTCTAGGAAAAGCTCTTAAAATAACTATTCAGTCCACTTCCCCCTTTTACAGCTATCCACTTCCCATTGGGAAATTGTTTCTTCCCCAATGTAGCTACAGTTTTCAAAAGTAACTGTAAAATGTATTTGCAACTAAATACATTTTTCACCCTTTATTTATTAGTTACTTCATACCAATCAAAATACTGATAGCAATCTAGTTTCTGCATAGTAATGTGGTCAATAATCACATCATATTTATTCAATACAATAGTATTTAGTGATAGAATCTTATTTCTTCATTTGAACTACAGCAAATGCAAATACTCTGTAAATTAAACACGTATCAACTAGAGTTTTAATTTAGTCTCTAACCTCCCTTCTGTCTTTGTCACAGTAATTTGATAATCTTAGATTAAGCTGCTAAATGAGACCATGTCTATTAATCAAATAGTCGGAAACAATCAATTTAATATATTAACTCATCATTCTTTTTCAAGTAATTTGTAATATAATGGCTGTTTGCTTTTCTGTAGGAAATATTACTGTTACCATCCGTCAAAGGAAAGCATTAATCCCATTAAGATATTTTGGGGGTGTATAATGTTGGTTGGGGTTATTTAAATATCCTCTCTTTTAAGTACAAATCAATATAGGCAAAGAACTCAACTGGAAAAGAGAAAATTGGATCTACCCCTAAGTTTGCCTCTAGCTGTGATCTTGAACCTTTTGCTTCCTATTTCTAGGCCTTCATTTCTTCATTTTCAAGACAGAAAGGGTTTATTTACATGATTCTTAAGGTTCTTTTCAGTTCTGAAATTTTGGGGAATGTGGGAAAGTGTATATTTTCTGAAACTTTTTAGGCAAAAATTATCACCTCGTGGGGCCAGTCTGGTAGTGTAGTGGCTAAGTTCACGTGCTCCACTTCAGTGGCCCGGGGTTCACCGGTTCAGATCCTGGACACAGACCTACACACCACTCATCAAGCCATGCTGTGGTGGCATCCCGCAAAATAGAGGAAGATTGGCACAGATGTTAGCTCAGGGATGATCTTCATCATGCAAAAAGAGGGAGATTGGCAACAGATGTTAGCTCAGGGCCAATCTTCCTCACCAAAATAATATCACTTCAATTTTACCATTAGATGTGGTTACTTTAGAATTGATTCTGATAAATATAGAACAATAAAGATAAGAAAAAAAGCACAACTGGATATTAATAAAGTCAGATTTAACTCAGAATCCATTTGAAGCTGTTAATCCTGTGCTGGATATCTATAATTAAAATATAAAGGATGATTTTATGGGCTGGTATATGCATTGTACTGGAGGAAGCAAAACTAAATCCAGAAACAATATCCAAATCTGCTCATATGTCCAGAGGTGTAAGATTCATGGTCACATACTCATCATTTTTATGATTCATGTTACATAAGGCACAGTACCTTTTAGTGGTCTTTCTTCATGTTGAAGGAGGCAAACCAAGAAGAATAGCTTCAAACACTTAACACAGAGGTTTACTTATTCCATCTCTCAAAATTATTTTCACCCCTCAAACAACGAAGACTAGTGGTTTAAAGCAATGGTTCTATTTAATTTTTCTGGTAGGGCTAAGAGTGTGATCTGGAAAAGTAACATGCATGGCCAATATGAAGGATAATCACAAGAGTAATACATACTTCAGATCAAGATGTAGTACTTAGCAGAGTACAGGGAGGGTCCTGAAAAATTCTGAGTTTAAAAAGAAATGGAGGGCCCGCCGCGTGGCTTAGCAGTTAGGTGCACGCGCTCTGCTGCTGGCGGCCCGGGTTCAGATCCCGGGCGCGCACCGAGGCACAGCTTCTCCGACCATGCTGAGGCCACGTCCCACGTACAGCAACTAGAAGGATGTGCAGTTATGACATACAACTATCTACTGGGGCTTTGGGGAAAGGAAAAAAAAAAAAGGAGGAGAATTGGCAATAGATGTTAGCTCAGAGCTGGTCTTCCTCAGCGCAAAAAAAAAATGAAATGGAACACCATGACTAATCATCAGGAGGTGCAAATCAAAATACAATGAGATATCACCTCACACCTGCCAGAATGGTTATTATAAAAAAGCCAAGAAATAGGAAGTGTTGACAAGGATACAGAGAAAAGGGAACCCTGGTACACTGTTGTAAATGTAAATTGGTGCAGCCACAAGGGAAAACAGTATGGAGGTTCCTCAAAAAATTAAAAATAGAACTACCATACAATCTAGCAATTCCACTTCTGGATATCTATCTGAAGAAAATGAAAACATTAATTTGAAGATATATATGCACCCCTATGTTCACTGCAGCATTATTTACAATAGCCAAGATATGAAAGCAACCTAAGTGTCCACTGATAGATGAATGAATAAAGATCTGGTATATGTATACAAAGGAATATTACTCAGCTATGAAAAAGAATGAAATCTTGCCATTTGTGACAACATGGAGGGACCTAGATGGTATTATGCTAAGTAAAATAAGTCAGAGAAAGAAAGACAAATACCATATGATTTCACTTATATGTGGAGTCTAAAAAACAAACAAACAAAACAAAACAGAAACAGACTGGTAGATACAAGAAACAAACTGGTGGTTAATAGATGGGGGAGGTGTTGGGGATCAGATGAAACAGGTGAAGGGCATTAAGAGGTACAGACTTCCAGTTATAAAATTAATGTCATGGAGATGTAATGTACAGCATGGGGACTATAGTCCAAAATATTGTAATAACTTTTTATGGTGACAGATGATAACTATATTTATCATGGTGATCATTTTGTAATGTATATGAATATCAAGTCACTAACATGTACAGTTGAAACTAGCAGGATATTGTATGTCAATTATACTTCAATTGAAAAAAAAAGAAATGGAGCATTTATTTTTCCATTTCATTTACAAACCTTTGTTAGAAGGTGAAACAAATTAAAAAATGGCACCGTCCCCTGCCAAATGGAATTACAAAAGTGAATAAACTGACAAGAGAAAGAGAAGAAGAGAAGGGTCAGTAATTGATATGGGAAGGGACAATTTTACTACCATGTTAGTTTCATCCATCCTCTATTTACCCCACCCCATTCACAAAACTGCTCGGGCTCAGGAAGGTCCAGTTATGTGTCCTTTGGGTGTAGGAAGCCACCTTTCACGATTACAACTATCCCTATCTCACAATTATACCATTCAATGAAAATATTAAGTAGATTGTTTCTCTAATACATGAAAGTTATTTGAAATTGTCATTTTTTAAGTGGAGCAAACACACCCAATAGAACAGTGCATAACTGATGTGTTTCTTTTAACATGTCCATTAGCATTATTAGCATTATTGACAAAATAGCCATGAGAAGACAAAAGATACTCAATGAGCACTTATTATGGCTGATGCAGGAGAGAATTCTGCCAGCACAGCCCAGGGACATTTTGTGAAAGGACTTAGCAGTGATCAACCTCCCCAAATGCAGAGGAAGAAGAATTATATATAGCTGGACAATTTTCAACATCAAAATGGTCATAACATTCTCCGTTACCCTTAATTAATTGCAAAATAAATATCTTTTTATTCTGTAAGACATAAGGACTTCATGGATAACAGCCAGAGAAGAAAAAATGACAGCTAAAAAGCTCTCTCTCTCTGAGTCAATTTATCAGATCTTTTAGTGTTTTTGTGCAATTCCCATGAAAACCAGAGTAGCTTATTCAAGCTTTAACTAGAATTTCTAATCAGCTTAATGTAAATATAAAAACTAAATGCATTCCTTCTGGAGCTTTGGCACCCTCAGGTAGCAAACACTAAAATATCTCCTGTTGAATCAATAGTAGATTGTGACTTTCTCTGGATGAGTTTAATGGGGCTACTTGAGCTCCTGGTCCCTAGTGCTCTGTGGGCAATGGCTATTTTTTGAGTTAGTGGTCTATCCTGAACACTACGACTTCCTTTAATAGTTCTTCTTTGATGATTCATTACCAAGTGGTTTATATAAATCACCTTTTTATAAGGTGTGTTCAATTAAACTGGTAATAGGCTTTAGGAGATAATAAAAAAATTCTGTGGCCAAAAAGTTTGAAATATGCTGGGTTAAATAAGGTTAAATAAGTCCCATTATTTTAGGACTTGTTAGAGCTCCCGTAGATGTTAACAATCTAAATTTTAGAGCCAGGCTACCTGGGTTCAAAGCTGAGCTCTGCCACTTAGCATGATTTTACTTTGGGAAAGTTATTTAACCTTCCTGCACCTCAGTTTCCTCATATGTAAAACTGGTATAATAATGGTACCTATCTCATAAGGTTGTTGTGTGGATTAAATAAGTTAATATATGTAAAATGCTTAGAATAGGACCTAACATAGTAAATCCTATAGATGTTTGCTAATGTTACTAATATGCCTTATAAATCTCCAAGAGTAAATTGGAATTTTTTTCGTTAATTCATTTAATTATTCAACAAAGATGGGGAGAAAATATATTCTTACTTATGCCTTGTACCGCTAACAGGCAATCCATGATAAAAACAAGTTGTACCTAGAAATAGTTCATCTTTTCTGTAGCATGCTTGTGACATCCCAAGTGTAGGCAGAGGTATTTTTTTTTTCAGGACCTGAATTCATTTGATAGCCAGTGTTTTTTCCAGAACTCCCAGTCTCCTGATGATTGTACTACAAAGATATGGAACAGCGTTGAGCTTATTGATTTGAAAATACTCGGCTCTGTTGACAGTCTGATTTCCTCTTAAGGTTTGTGGTGTGTTCAAACTGTTTTCTTCCCATTGTTTCAGGCAGGAAAAGTTCAGTTTGGTTACGTGTACGGCATAAGTGCCATTGGCTGCCTCGGGATTCATGCCTTACTAAACCTGATGAGCTCTTCAGGGGTGTCCTGTGGCTGCGTGGCCAGTGTATTGGGTTACTGCCTGCTCCCCATGGTCATCCTATCCAGCTGTGCTATCTTCTTTTCTCTGCAGTAAGTGTCTATGTACGCTAATTGACCCCACATGCGCAGTCATCGCTGAAGCTTGTAACATCAGTGCAAAGGTTAACCTCTGTCTGATCATTTTGGTAGTGGAATTGGGGAAACTATGACTATTAAAAGCTACACACACATTCAGGAAAGTAGGTCAGTTTTGGCTCAGGTGCTGTTCCCATTTCAATGGTTTAAAAAATAAATTAAACCAAGTTATCTTTAAAACTGTCACTTTGTAAATTGTCACATTCTTCAATGTGAACTATTGTCGTGGCTAATATAACAACTGCCGAAAATTCACTTGTTTGATTTTGGAAGAGTAAGTACCTGGTGAACACTGACAAATTGCTTCAGCTCCCAGGCATTCTGCCTTCTAGGCGGGCAGCAACTGTTTTTTCTCAGTTGGGCTCCTCGTAGCACAGAATTCCCAGGAACCCAGATGAGGATATTAATGCTAGAGAATTTTATAGCATATATGCTCAGTCAATAATATTTTTCCTTCCTGAGCCATTAGTATTGGCAATTCAAAACTATTAATAAGCATCCAGTAGATCTGTTTCTCTAGGGCACTTTCCCGGGGCATATGCATATCACTACCACTTTGGTTGAGGAGAGCAAGTAATTACATAGTCCTTTGTCACCTGCTATGCTCTAAACCCAATTAGAAATAAACATTTGCCATCAGTGCTCATTCTTCCACATCCAAAGGAGACACAATTCGTATTTTTTTCTTGGATGATCCACATTTTATTAACCCTACATTGGATAGAATTTTATATAAAGAATTTACAAATGCCAAAGATAGACATTTTAGAAAAGCCTTTACTATTTTTATTTAGATATAATCTCATATAAATTTTTTTCACAACGTTATTGAGAATGACTTGGAAATAATTTTTGGTTTAATATGGTCTTATTTTTAACATTCTTGAGAAAAATTTAGAGCAAACTCTTTATCAGTGAGTACTCACATTTAAAGAAGAGGAATACAATAGAAAATGGATACCTTGAATATATAAATACAGTGTGAGTTATAGGTATATTTATTAAGTCTTATCCACGGAAAAATTCCACTTTTTGTATGTCATGATCTTTAGCAAGCTGTTCTGTTTACTACATTGTTTGGTACAAACATTAGATAAGTTAATACAGAGTTCAGTTCAACAACTTATATTTTGTCAGATGCTTTCCCCAAAGAATACTATAATGATTCACTATTTAAAAATTCCAAGTTTTAAATGTTATTTCCAGTAAAGTCGACATTTGGAGTATCTAGAGGAAGAAAATAAAAGCTAAAACTTTTGGATTTTGAGAATTATCAGAAGTCTGGACCTTTTTTCATTCTGAAATTATAAAGGATGATTTAGAAATCTTTTAAACATATTAAAGGGAAATAAACTCGCTGACCCCTAAGACCATTACACTGAAATTGCCCTTTTGGGCATATTACTAAATCATTCAAATTAATCATATATAATTTTACATTTTTGTTCACAAAAACTTGTAAATTAAATCACTCTAGAAATTATTCTCAATAGATATTAATTAAACCAATGAATATAATATTTATTGGAGTGCTTTTTAATTATTTTTGGTTCACTTATAATCCAAGGCATTATAAGCTATATTATACAGTTTTTCACTTGTTTTGCTTTGGTTCAGTTATTAAAAGTAGGTATTCCTGTCATTCTCACAAATAATAAACACAATTCTCAACTTCAGATTCAACCAGGATCAAGTTTGATGGTGAAAAGAACAGTGTGCGTGGAGTTAGGAGATTTTGACCTACTGCCCATTTTACTATGCAAATTTGTCAAGTCACTTCATTGCTTTAAAGCTGGGGACTAGATATATCCTGAGATCTCTCCTGGCTCTGATGTCTTATTTTCCTAAATAATGCATTAGGTTTTGCACATAAGGAAAGAAATTCACTCTTGACCACCCACACCTCGTTTTTGATTCCCAAGGTGGAAGACTTAACTACCTTATTTGCCCATTTCTTCTTAAAGAATCAATTGCCTCTACAGTTACTTTTTGAAGATATCAATTTGAACAAATCCATTTCAGTATTCTAAAATGTCCACATATATACATATAAAAGGGATCTTCAGTGATAGGGTGGGAGGCCACACATGTCTGTGTTTTCCTGTTCCATGTCTTCCCTACTCCAGCTCTCAGGCTTTGCTATCTCAGACGAAAACCTGGGAAGTGGACCTGGGAGCAGTGGGGACTAGGCACCCTACTGGAATGCAAGCCCAGTTATCTCTCTGTTCAGACTGTGAGTAAATTTAGGAAGCAAGCGGCAAGAGAGTGGGTGGGAAGGAATTCCATAGCTATAAAAAAAATCTCTAAACATAGTCTAAATAAAAGAATTTCAGATGTTGGGATTTGGATGTTGACATATAAAAGTGAGTGCAGGCAACTTCTTCTGTCTCTATTAACTGGAGTTCTATTAACGTATAAAATGTTTAGCCTCTGATCGTGAATTTGACACAAAAATTTTCTAACTGGCTGAGGCCTCTGAGTTCATGTGGTTCCTCACCCTCATTTTACAAATGGAGAAAGTAGTTATAAATACTGTACTGAGGACATTTCAGAGGCAGCTCTGATTCAATAATCTCTTTTTCTCCTCATGTAAGGTAATCGTCTCTTTTGTCTTCGCAATAGGGACGCCTTTGGAATCGTGTCTGCACTGGTCATCATTGGCTGGTGTAGTCTCTCAGCTTCTAAAATCTTCATTTCGGCCTTGGACATGGAAGGACAACAGCTTCTCATTGCCTACCCTTGTGCCTTATTTTATGGACTTTTTGCCCTCCTAACAGTTTTCTGAAGAGTGTTTGAGATGTCGTTACAAGATTCTATTTTATTGCTGGTCAGATTATCCTGGAAATGTATTAGCATTCAAATTTGGTAATATGATTTCTGTTTTATTGCTGTTGAGAGAATAATAATCAGAGAGGCAAAGCAGCACTTAAGGATGGCGCTCTAATAGCCTGTTGGTTTGAATGATGTTGCTTTTTGGTTTGGTGCATTAAAACATTTTAAAATACTTTAAAATAAAAAGGGATATAATTGTTGTACTGATGGACCCTGCTTTTCTCAACAGATGTATTTCTGAGAAGTTGTAAGTAAATAAAATCATATGCTGACTGGATAAAGGAAATCTATAGTGAGCCTTTTGAGAAAGCTTCATGACCGCTCAAGCTGTGAGCACCTGGTTTAAGTTACACTGTCCAGCACCTTGGAGAATTGCAGGGGAGGGTTAGATAGGGTTTTATTTACCTGAGACTCAAAGAACTTCTTGTCTTTTAATTCATTTACTTTAACGCTGTTCTTTGTTTCGTTAAAACAATGCATTAACTCATCACATTTTCAAGCCCTCGCTTCCTTCTTACTTGGTTTAGGTGCCATGGTCCATTTCTCCTTTGCATATAATTTCTCCTTTGCATATACCTGAGTAACCTTGCCATTTGCTCCCTAAATAGATGAATGTGACTAGAGGAAATCTCACTTGCTTCACTTTAATTATATTAGTATATCTTAAATGGCTCCTCAGCACTGCCTTTTCAATCCTACTACATCACTAAATTTGCTTTCATACTTTCTGAGAGGATTATGTTACACCATTTCTTCACTGCTCAAATTTCCAATAGTCCGTCCTCATTTCGCACTGTTAGTGGATGACTTTTCTTCTTATTTTATTGAAAAATAGAAACATCCAGAAAAAAGTGCATCATCTTCCCACCACCAGATCTACCAACCTGCCTGCATCTTTGTATATATATGTGCATACATGTATGCGTACACACACACACACACACACACACTCTGCATTCCTTCTTGTCACTGTCTCTTCTCTCCACAGCCAGCTTTTCCACCTACGTAACCAGTGTTTTCCTCTTGACCTATCATTCACATCAGCAGATAAACATATTTCAATATCTCCTATCTTAAAATAAAAATCCTTAGTCTCAACGTCACTCTCCAGTTATGGCCCATTTGTAACAAAAATCGTTGAAAGAGTTGTCTATTGTCTCTGCCTCCACTTTGTCACCACTCATTTTCTTTCTTACAGTCCAGTAAAGATTTCATCACCCTATTCACCAAGACCACTTCTGTAAAATCAGCAACCACCTCCACATTTTGCTAAATCCAAAGGTCAATTCTCAGGCATTCATTTTATTTGAATTCTCAGAGGTATTTGATCACCTTTCTTAGCAATTTCCTCCAGCCCCTGTGTTGAACACTTACTTCTTCGCTAGGCTTCTTGTGTGTCATACATTCTTGGTTTTTTCCCTACCTTACTGATGCCTCCTTCTCAGTCTTCTCGGCTGGCCTCTCTTCCTCTTCTCAACCTCAAATCTCTTCTCTATTTATACTCACTTGGTAGATGAGCTCATTTAATTGCATAATTTTAAAATCTAATGACTCCCAAATTTCCATCTCCCATCTAACACTCTCCCTTGAACTCTTGACATATGTATATCCAACTTATACTTGATACCTCCATTTGATTTTTTGTATGATAGTCTCAAAAATAGCATATCTGAAACAAAATCCTTGACTTCTATCCTGTCCTAACTGTTCCTCCGCCAAACTTACTCATCTTTCTAACATCACCCTTTCTAAAATTGCCCAGTTGCTCAGTCTAAATACTAGTCTGTCTTCATCATTCTTTTACTTTCACACCCAACATCTAATCCGTCAGACACTCCTGTTGACTCTATAATCGAAATATATCCCAAATTTGACCATGTCTCATGAGCTCCTTCACTGCCAACACGACTCCAAGCCACTATCGTTTCTTGCCTAACAGAAGCAGTCTCCTAACTGGTTTCCTGCTCCACGCTTTCTCCCCAATAGGCTTTTCTACACACACAGCAGCCTTTGGAATCCTTTTAAAATGTAAATCAGTTATGTCATCCGAAGCCCAAGACCCTTTTATGGCTTTCCTTCATATTTACAATAAAACCCAACCTCCTTTTCATAGCTCAGAAGCTTACTATTCAAAGAGTGATCCCCAGAACAACAACATTAGCATCCTCTGGAAGCTTGTTAGAAATTCAGAATCTCAGCCCCTGCGTCAGACCAACTGAACCAGAGTCTGCATTTTAACAAGATGATTTGCATGCACAACAAAATCTGAAAAGCGCTAGTGGAGAGAAGATGCTTTGCCTGCATGATCTGATCATGTTTTGCCTTCCCATCTCATCTCCTTCCATTCTCTCCCTTGTTCACTAGTTTTATTGCTGCTTCTTGGACCACCAAGTTTATCCACCAAAGGATCTTTATACTTAGTCTACTTGCGACATTGCTCCTCCTGATCTTTCATATTAGTCAGGCCTCTGTTCATATTTTACCTCCTTAGAGAGGTCTTCACTGGCTATTCTTTCTGAAACAGTATCCCTCCCCACTTTACTCAGTCTATTTCATTAACTTACTCCCTAATAACTCTTAGAATTACCTGAAATTGTGTTATTTATTTACTTCTTTGCTTTCTGTCTCTCCTCTTTGCTTTTTATCTCTAAACGCTTTGAGGCCAGGGACCTTGTCTATATACAACAGCTCCCGACAAAGAATAGGAGATTAATACATGTTTATCGAATGAACGAGTAAATGAATGAGATTGTGATTGGGTATAGATCATTGTAGTAAACAAGACAACCATACATTGGGAGTGGAGGAAAAATAGATAATAAACAGGTAAACAATAAATAAACAAGACAATTCCAGAAGTATGAAAAGAATGCTAAGCGAGGAATGTGTGGAAAAGAAGGTACCGGGGTAGTAAATGTTACACTTTTCTACTTTATAACCTGTTAATGAACCTGTTCTGAAGCGTGGAGTTTTCTTAACTTCTCGCTCTTTCTGTTTGGCCCGAGATGGTCCTACTGATCACTTTGTGAGATGAAGCAAGGATGCTGTTTATTGTAGTGATTTCTCTATAACATCATCTATTTCTTAGAGGAGCATTTATATTATGACATTAAAACTTTTACCTTTTAAAAAGTGCTTTTACTAAAAAACGTTATAGGGAAAAATTGCTCTGAATTCAGGATGTAGGTTGATGTTTTTCTATGCATAAAAACAGAGTCATACACAAAAAAGGTTTGTTTTTTTACTATGAAAAATTATAACATCTGTATAAAAAGCCCATAAATGAAATACTAAATATTTCATAACAGCAAGAAATAAGAATAAATTCTATTTAACAGTTTCTAATAGCAGAATTATGAAATACCTAAGAATTAATGTAAAAATAAATATAGATGATCCCTATAAAAATAATTGCAAAATATCAGGGGTAATGTTTAAGAAGATTAGAATATGCAGACAGGTATACTATGTCCCAGGATGAGAAAATTGAACTTTGTAAAAGAATCTCCACAAAATAAATGTATAGATTTAATATAATTCCAATTAAAATTCTAGGAAATATTTCTTGGAAATTGGCAAAGTGATTTTAAGAAGTTTAATCTAAAAAAATAAGCAAATATGAAACCATGAAAAATTGGAAACAGTCTAAAAATTTATTACAATAGGCAGGGAGTTAAATCAATTATTGTTCATCTCTATGGTTGAATGCTAGGTAACTATATGAAAATATTTTGAAAGAATTATAATATGAGAAAATGCACATATTAAATTCTCATAATTTTCAATATTTACTGAGGACTTACTCTGGGTTGATCTAGATACTTTATGTTATTAACTCATTGAATCCTCACAATAACTGTATGAGGTCCTCTTACCATCACCTCCATGTTACAGATGAGGCTACTGAGTTACAGAGAGGCTACATCACTCGCCCAAGGTTATTCTGTCAACTACCAGGACTTGAATCCGGGAAGATTGATTCCAGAGTCCATAACCACAGCATAACACTACCTGTTACTGAGCAAAAAACCTCATTGCATCTTCATGGCCATCAACATATCTACTATTTATTCAACTCAGATTTATCCTTTCCCTTTGACCTTTGACAATAATAGGCAGAGCTAAAGAGCTTTACCTGCCAGGGAAAAATAATGCAAAAATAATACAGAAGAAGAATCTAGAATGTCTAAAAGGACTAAAGTGGTACCTAAATGATTTCCAGGTCCATTTCTGCACTCTAGTTGATATAAGCTATGCAGATTTAGATATAGTTAGCAATTGGATAGAAAAATCTCACAAAATATAGGCCTCTTCTTCCATTCCAAGTAATGTGTGTATTATATGAATTTGTACAGAATGGAGGTATTTTCCTTTTTTAATAAATGGTGACATTTATTTATGGTCACTAGGGTGTGTTACAGAACAAATGAGAAATTGAGAGAAAGTACATTTAGTGTGCACAACTAGAAATAATATCTTTTTTGTTGAACAGGCCCTGGCAAGTTTTTTCACTTTCCCTTTTCCTCAAATGCTTCAACTTCTTTTATCTGAGTGTGAAACATTTTTCTACTTTTCTGTCTTTACTAGTTGAAAGTTACAGATTATGTGCTAAGCGTAAATGGCACATTTGGAGTCAGGAGATGGCCTTCATTTCTACAGGAATGATTGGGGACATGTGCTGAAAATAAAAGTCCTGAATTACTTAGACTCAAGTGCCCCAGTTCACAACAGTTTAACTAGGGCAGTGGCCTTTGCAGCATTTGATGACAGATGCTTTCTACTCTGCTCTGGTTCCCAGTGAAGAATGCCGACTGCAAAACCGCTCTGACAACCTCCTGCTCCTCTTTTCCTTACAACACTTGTGAGTTCTATTCTGTTTCTCAGTGACACAATCAAGGATCTATAGCTTTTCAAATCAGTTTTCATTTCATTCCAGAGTGGACGTCTGGAATGATTTTAAATGAGTGTTCTGGCACCCAAATTTCCACATGTGAAGGGAGGGGGCCTTTCCTTCACAACCAACAAGCAATTCTTGGACACCAGCAGAGTGCATGAGAATTCAATTCAATTCAACTTGCTTCTGATACTATCTACCCAGAAATACCATCAGATTCCACAGGTTAAGGGTCAATCCTACAAGGCTGTCTCCCCACCCCCTTCAGATGCCAGTTGCAAGTCCAAGTT